CCCCCCCCCCCCCCCCACCCCTCCCTCCGCGTGGGCTTCACCCAGGACATTATTCCCTGCGCGCTAACTTTTCGCTGTCAGGGGACGCAGATGAAGTTCAAGTAGTCAAGAAGATTCTCTCTGACATACACATAGCGATTTTTCTAGGACACTGCTTAAGACTGGCAGTAATGGCAGCAACAGAGACCTGATTTGCTTATGTTCTAGTAGTTTCCTTAGGTTTTTCTCTCCCCAGTTGAACTCTTAACATCTACATTCCCTCATTGTCGATACCACCCAACGTCATCGCGAAGTATGCCTTAAAGCGTATGCACCGCCCCTCTCCCCTCCTCCAATTCCCCTGCATCTTGCCTCTTTTTCTACTTATTCCCTCTTCGAGGTAAGCACTTCAATGTGACAGTTGAGACTTACAAATAATGACTTCAAGATAGACTCCCCAACAAAGAAATCAGGCAAACAAGTAAGGTCGCCCAATTTGGCCTGTTCTCAGAAAACAGAGCTATAAAGAAGGTCCAAATGTCGCGTTCATCTAGTTGTTTTCGTTTCCATTTCAAAATTACTGCAGAACACGAGCGATACTAATTTCATACGCTTTCGCTGTGTTATATTAGTTGATCCTCCGAGGATAGACTATTAGCTGCTCCATTTTCATTCATATACATGCCATTTATTACTATCACCTTCCATTTCGGGCCTAGATTGTTTATCTACTCACTTGTTTATGTTTTAAAGGCGAAGGTGGTGTAGTGGCAAGTGGCGCACTATCACATACGCAGGGTCCAAGGATAAAATCGCGGATCGATACTCGCCCAGATCGACCAGTCCTTCTATCCCTATACTTGTAATCGACTGATATACCGTAAGCCATTGTATAGGCCACGCATCCATATTATGCGCACTCGAAGCTCCATTACGATTCTGAACAAAAGTCGAATGCGGGGCGCATTCTAAACACGGGACACACTTGACTTTCCTCTGAACATTTCGAATCCAAATTATATAATTATCTATTTATTCACTCATTTACGCAATTGAGCCCATGTCCACTGGAGCTACAAATGTTAGCAACAGGCGCGGAGTAAATCAGAGAAGAGCCGAACCTTCTCACCAACGAGGTAGTAGCAACCAGGAAAGAAATAAGAATCACCGCACGCTGCATCCCGAGTGATGTGAGAGTCTAGCGGAAAAAGTCGAATCATCGGAATGCTCAATTTCCTTGAACTACAATTTTTACCTTCCCACGGTGAATTAAGTAAATATACCAAACACAGAGGCTGAAAACTACAAAAAAAATGAATTCATCCAGATATCCAACCCTTCCATCCTTCCGATCGGAAGAATAAAGCGCTACCTTGTCTATCGGATTGCCCAGTAAGCCATTGTTTACATCAAATGCTATTGCCCCTGCGATTCTAGAAAGAAGCTCACCCAAATGGGATTGTCTAGCAGAAAACGATCTCTACTTTTTCACTGCATTACTCGTAGGTGGTCGAATGAACGTTTCAGAGGAGAGAAACCTTTTTGCTGCACCTGATGGACTCGTTTCGCACTGATTTCCTTATTGGCATTGTTGGCATGCTCTTTTTTGTTGACTATTTAATAGGCTCGAGTACAGCGGGGAATATGACATAGGGGTAAAACATAAAAACAGCCTCTTTAGGGCCCTAGATTCTTCCTATTACTTCTTGAGGTATTTGGAGTCATCGGAAAAGAATTCTAGCTCCGTAACTGTAACATTATTTACGTTAGGCAACGTTTTAAAGTGACTACTGTACCGTCTGTGGGGCCAGCAAAAAGGGGGCTGATCGAAAGGGGACGTGAATGTTGGTGTATTTTTACAAATGCAGCTTTTTTTCCTATTTTTTTTTAGTTCTCTCGCTACCCCAACCCTCCGCCTGTATGAAGGTAACCTGGTACAGCTGGACCTGATTCCCACGATACATCTGACATCACGGGTTGCAAAAAGGTCGCAAGCATCACGAAAGCATCACGAAAAGTGGGCCCTTGAACACTTCCTTAGATATAATCCTCACCCGCAGAAGAAATTCAAAAAAAAAAAAAACAAAATTAGTCAAATGAATACCCAAACAACAAGCCCACCCTGCTGTGAATACGACCCTCCCGAAAATGGATGAATAAATAGCACCATCCCCACGGATTCTACTTCAGAAGCTTGACGCTGCTCGGCGTATGGAATTTTTTGGAGCTGAAACTCACGTGCTCTCGCTTCAGTTCCCTCATGACCCAGCTAAACCTGCGTTCATACTTCTGATCGCGTTTTGGAAATGCGTATCGATTAGAGGCACTTGCAGTTGAGATTACTCTAATTGTAAGAGTACGACCAACCCACGTTCATTGATCTTGTGATTTTAAAATCCATGAATCCCCACCTGTAANCAGTTCATGTGAGAGACACCTGCGGACCACCCTTTGGCTGTTGTTAAGCACATGTGTTACATGCGTATGTCTCCATCAAAGTGTTTTACGAGTGATTCCCACGAAATCTCACGGTAAAGAGTGTAATCTTCACGTCAAACAGCTGTCTACGTCTGTCAATATCTCACAGTTCAGACTCAAAAAATTGTCCCGTTGAACAAGGGCATTTTGAAAACAGAACTGTGATTGATGGGAGAAAATGAGTTATGGGAAACGGCGGCGCCACTGCCACAGACATATTTGGTCATATTCATCGACCACCCACGTAGAAATCACAAGATTCAAAGGGACTGTATTACCAATTTGGAATCCAAAATTGAGTGATAAACTCGACGAGTAGGTAGAACACTGAATTACCCACATGATGACCTAAGTAGGCTATTGTCTAGGCGACTTACCCATTCGAATAACACTACGGTTCTTCAGGCATGTAGAAATTTTGGCACAAAAAAATGGTCCTTATGTAGTCGGATGGAAGAGAGGACCTTACACTAACTCTATGAAATCTTGTTGTGGTTTAAAAGTAATTCTCATACTTGGCAAAAGACGGTGGTGGAATAGTGGCAGGAGGCGCACTATCACACACGCACGGCTACGGGTCCGATTGATACCCGCCTAGGCCAGCCAAGCCTTCCATCCCTCCGGGGTTGTTGAATTGGTACCAGGCTCGTCTGATTCACTGTATAGGCCACATACGCATTCAAAACACCACTCGATTCTGGATAGAAGTCGAATGTCTAGGCGCATCTCAGAGATGGGTGAGAGAGATGCCAAAGACGTCATCCTTTATGTCTTCCTGATGCCCGTTCATGAAACTAGAATCTATTCGGAGCTACAAAAGCGAGTACATTCAACACAAGGTCAACCAAACCAGTTTTGATTTCGTAGGTAGCAAAAGAAAAAACGAACAATGATTGCCCTTTTACGCCATCGGACCATACGATCTCATCATTGCAGCGAAGAACTCGAAACGAATGGAGCGAATCGATGAAGAAATTCAATTCGGGCTATGAAGCACCCAAACATATGGAAGAAATAGAGTATGGAGCCAGTTTTATAAGTGACAATTTATCTATTTTGGAAGACAGGCCGTAGTACTAGACAGTACCACCGGCTGGTACAAAATGATCAATGGACGCCTTCAAGAGGCTGCCATTTCTAGCCTGCGATTTTTCCAAAGTTTATGTGTTACTGGTTTCGGATTTCTTTCTCCAAAGTCCTTTCAAAATGATGAACCCCGACTTTCCCATCTCAACCTTGGCCTATATCAAGATATCCTTCTTTTACCATATCTACAGGAACTCTGTAGGATATGCCTTGGCCACACAGCAATGGGCATTCTGCTTCCACATCACTCCTTATTAAATTTCTACAAAGATAGTTTAGTTGAGAACTCCAACTTACAGCTCAAGAAAAGTCACCCCAACCATTTTTTGTAAGCTTTTTCATAAACAGTTCAGGCCCAAAACGCGCTCTTCAAAACTTTGCTATTACGGCCCTATGAACGTTTCCGCCCCATTGCATTTGCTGTTCTAGACCTCTCCTCTAAACAATAGAGGCTCTTGATGTTCCTGCTCCCGCCGTCCCTGTAACCCCCACTTTTCTCAGTGCAGTGAGGCTGCCCTTGTAGTTCTCGTGCGCCGACCTGCCAACACTCGCTGTCGCAGGCCTTATGACAATTCTACACCCCATCCCCATTGTTATACTAGCATATGTATTGTATTCATACCCCACTTCTAATCAAAGCTATGGCATCTGCATTTTAAAGGAGTAGAGGCAAACAACGGACTCATTGATAAACAAACACAAAATTTCAGTTTTGTCTGGTAGAAGAATTGTTGACGAAGC